TCTTGTTTAAAAAGATACAAGAGAAGTGTCCCTTTGAAACAAATGTCTTAGAGATAAGACTAAACATCCCGCAGTCAGAATTAACTCGAAGATAAAAACACTTCATTACCTCATATTGGTTACTTTTCGCAGTGTATGTGATCAAATCCAAAATAATTCTTTGCCCTCAAAACAGTTTTGGTTCTATCACAGAAAGAGCAGTTCATCGACTTCTGAAGGACAAAACACAGAACTCATGACACCAGTTTACTTTGAAGTTAAAGTTAATCTACTTTAAACTTGTATTTGGTTCTAATCTCAGTCACCTCCTTTTCCAGGACCAGCCTGACTCAGCCAATCAGCTCTCAGCCCCTAAATCTTGTTATTGTTTTCATTTCGATGTCCCGCCCTCCACCGTTTCAGCAATCAGAAAGTCTGTGATCCGGGCGCCAGAACTCACCGCATCGAGCTAATCTCACTGGTAAAGTACCATGTGGCGCTAATCTCACTGGTAAAGTACCATGTGGCACAGAACTAAAAAAGGAACAAAAACAAGGAATAAAACCAGGATTTCTATCTCTGTGAAAAAGGTGTTGGTTATATATTTGTTGCTGACAAAACTCTTGTCTATTCAGCTGTTATGGTCCCAGCTGGATTCGTCTGCATATCTGGCAACCTGAGTCAGGGAGAGTGGCAGAGGCTGCAGTACCACTTTTGACCACATTTTTACACACTGCTCCTTTAAGGCCACAGATAAAAGGTACTAACCTGGCAAAAGCCAGATTGATGATTGTGTAGAACTCTAACGCGTTCTCCGCGATATCAATCTGGGATTTCTCCCGGAGAATCCTTTCGGGGAAAGGAGGGGTAAGCAGCAGAATACATGAAGCTGATTGGGCGAAGTGACGCTGTGTGCCCGCCTACCAAGGTTGCCGTCCAGAAATGTACAAAGCGCCTCTCGCTGTTCATCTTTCAAAAAAGAAATTGGAGATTCTGCTAAAACTGACTTTGCGTCCGTCCTCCTGCGTAGCCATGTTTGTTTTGCTTCGGCCCGGCACTTCTTGCTTTCGTCAGACCCGGATATCCCGCCCTAAACCCCCAAACTGGCGCGTGATTGGCTCGCACACCCAGTGGTTCGACTCAAAGTGTAAGCGGGAGCGGTACAAGATGTATTCTCGAGTGTTTGTGAACTCACAAATACCGCGAGAATTCAGCTTGCAGGCAAGGTTAAAAAGGTACAATACAAGTAGGATAAACTCAGAAATGTTTGAAAATTAGCATTATCAAAAAGAATAAGATGAATTGTAAAAATTAAAAATTAAAATTGAGTGATTCTGGATTATCGTCCATTCTGTTCCACGATTGAACAGAACATTTACAGACTAAAGTTATCAAGGCTCAAAAGATAATGTTTAATTTGTCACTTATTAAAAAAAGAGTCGACTGTGACAGGACGAGGCAAATGAAAGGACAAAGGACTTCAAAGACCTCAGAACCATCTGTTTTTTCTGCAGCTGTGGAGAAACTACACATTTGTCATTCAGCCAACTTCAGCTCTCATAAGTATGTATCCAAACGGTCACATCAGACCTCATTTAGGATCTCCAGACAACAATCCACTCCAGACAGTTTTACAATCCGTGCCGTCAGGCCCTGGACAAGTCAAAGATAAGCCTTACAAGAAAGTTTGGACACCCCCGACATTGACGACACACAATTCAAGCCTAAAAACACACTTTCTTATCAAAAAGACAAAAACAAACTGCGGTCTTCTCTAAAGGTGAAGCAGGACGCTCTAAATTTAGCTGCTGCTGAGGTTGGACTGAACATCACCTCCTCTTCTCTCCCTCTCTCTGCCTCCTGTCGCACTGCTGCACTTCTGGAAGGTTCTGGAAAGTTCTGGAAGGTTCTGGAAGGTGTCCGGCTCTCAGAGGATTCCAGAACATCCCCGTCTTCATATGCCCCACACTGAGAGGCCTGTGAGGACCTGCTCTGGATGACCTCGTCTTAACCTTGACCCGGCCGCCTCCACAGCCTCCTCCACAGCCTCCTCCACAGCCTCCTCCACAGCCTCCTCCACAGCCTCCTCCACAGCTACCTTTACAGCCTCCTCCAGATCCACCTCTACAGCCACCTCCTCCACAGCTACCTCCTCCACAGCCGCCTCCTCCACAGCCGCCTCCTCCACAGCCGCCGGCTTCACAGCCGCCTTCACAGCCGCCTTCACAGCCGCCTTCACAGCCGCCTTCACAGCCGCCTTCACAGCCTCCTCTAATGTGTCTCCTCTGACTGGTGTGTGGACCCAGGACAGCAATGGGAAAGGTTGGCGTGGTGTTTGGACCCGTGTTGGCCACTAAGTACCAAGAACGAGAGAGCGCGAGCAGAGAGAGAGGCACCAGAGAGAGAGACCAGATAGAGGCCAGAGAGAGAGACCAGCAAGAGAGACCAGAGAGAGAAACCAGGGAGAGAAACCAGGGAGAGAAACCAGGGAGAGAAACCAGGGAGAGAGACCAGCGAGCGAGGGACACCGGGGAGAGAGACCAAATCCCATTAATATGGCCGACAGCACGTTTACAGAGCAGCACAAGCATCAGCCCAAACTGATGGCAAAGGCTTCACTCACCTGAACACAGCTCCATGGCTCGTTACGGTCGTTACGCAAAGTCAAGAAAATCATAAAACTACACAAAAGTCACATGACCCACATATAAGCAACGGCCTTTAAAAACTGTATCGTGGTCTAAATCACAGTTATATCTGATCTCCCCCCCTCCCCCTGATCCCCTTCTCATCCCTCCCCAACCCTCCCCCATCAGCCCCCCCTCCCCCCTCCCCCCTCCAAACTCCCGCAGTGTAAAACTTTAAGCTCTCCCCAATCTCTGAAATCCTCGACGGGATATTAGGCAGAGATTTCGCTTTCGCCCCGAACAACTCCGAGACGTGACGGGTTTTTAAAGTAGAGAAAGTGAAAAATGGAGAGTGGTTTTATATGAAGCGAACAATGAAGACTGTCCTGGTTTTTGTAAACACGACACCATGGTCCTGGTTAAAGAGACAGTACAGAGTTTACCATGTGACTCTCTCTCTCTGTTATGATCAGAGAAATATGCATGAGCTCCGGTGTTGAAGCCACAGAGACCTGGGAACGATCGACAAAAGATGGTTTTCTAACCAGAGAGAGACCAGAGAGAGAGACCAGAGAGAAAGACCAGAGAGAGAGACCAGAGAGAGAGACCAGAGAGAGAGACCAGAGAGAGACCAGAGAGAGACCAGAGAGAGAGACCAGAGAGAAAGACCAGAGAGAGACCAGAGAGAGAGACCAGAGAGAAAGACCAGAGAGAGACCAGAGAGAGACCAGAGAGAGACCAGAGAGAAAGACCAGAAAGAGAGACCAGAGAGAGAGACCAGAGAGAGGCCAGAGAGAAACCAGAGAGAAACCAGAGAGAGACCAGAGAGAGACCAGAGAGAGAAAGACCAGAGAGAGACCAGAGAAAGACCAGAGAAAGACCAGAGAAAGACCAGAGAGAGGCCAAAGAGACCAGAGAGAGACCAGAGAGAGACCAGAGAGAGACCAGAGAGAGACCAGAGAGAAAGACCAGAGAGAAAGACCAGAAAGAGAGACCAGAGAGAGAGACCAGAGAGAGGCCAGAGAGAAACCAGAGAGAGACCAGAGAGAGACCAGAGAGAGACCAGAGAGAGACCAGAGAGAGGCCAAAGAGACCAGAGAGAGACCAGAGAGAGACCAGAGAGAGACCAGAGAAAGACCAGAGAGAGACCAGAGAGAGACCAGAAGAAGCAAACATAATAACAGCCCTGTCAGATATACTTGGACTGCTCCATTATAACTTTAAGAACCAGCATCAGAATCTTACCCTGAAAATCTGTCCCTTTAAATCCTGTACTTCCTACTCTTCAGTGAGATTAAAAACCACAAACGTTTGGGAATGAAAATCTTTCTCAGTCGCAAAACAATATCTGGACATGGAAGTCAGAAGAATGGATGTGAGAGAGATGTTGAAGTGTGATAGAAGTGAAACGGATATTACACAGTATTTAAACAGTTTTCTGAAACAGTCAAAGCTCGTGAGGGTTTCTCAGGCGGGTCACGGACGCTTCCGGAAATGTGGCCTTAGCACAGGGACAGCACAGGGACAGCACAGGGACAGCACAGGGACAGCACAGGGACAGCACAGGGACAGCACAGGGACAGCACAGGGACAGCACAGGGACAGCACAGGGACAGCACAGGGACAGCACAGGGACAGCACAGGGACAGCACAGGGACAGCACAGGGACAGCACAGGGACAGCACAGGGACGGCACAGGGACAGCACAGGGACGGGCAGCGGAAGTGAAGGAATTCCACAGTTTACAGAGAACAGAAGGGAAACAAAAGCAGACCCAGATCCCAGGTCGAAACCAGAGAGAGAGGTCAGAGAGAGGCCAGAGAGAGAGACCAGAGAGAGAGGCCAGAGAGAGACCAGAGAGACCAGAGAGAGAGGCCAGAGAGAGACCAGAGAGAGACCAGAGAGAGACCAGAGAGAGAGGTCAGAGAGAGGCCAGAGAGAGACCAGAGAGAGGCCAGAGAGAGACCAGAGAGACCAGAGAGAGGCCAGAGAGAGGCCAGAGAGAGGTCAGAGAGAGGCCAGAGAGAGACCAGAGAGAGGCCAGAGAGAGACCAGAGAGAGGCCAGAGAGAGACCAGAGAGAGACCAGAGAGAGACCAGAGAGACCAGAGAGAGAGACCAGAGAGAGGCCAGAGAGAAACCAGAGAGAGAGACCAGAGAGAGAGACCAGAGAGAGAGACCAGAGAGAGAGACCAGAGAGAAACCAGAGAGAAACCAGAGAGAGAGACCAGAGAGAGAGACCAGAGAGAGAGACCAGAGAGAGAGACCAGAGAGAGAGACCAGAGAGTGAGGTCAGAGAGAGGCCAGAGAGAGAGACCAGGGAGAGAAACCAGAGAGAGAGGTCAGAGAGAGGCCAGAGAGAGAGACCAGAGAGAGACCAGGTTGAAACCAGAGAGAGAGACCAGAGAGAGACCAGAGAGAGACCAGAGACCACAGAGGTCAGAGAGAGAGACCAGAGAGAGAGGTCAGAGAGAGAGGTCAGAGAGAGAGACCAGGTCGAAACCAGAGAGAGAGACCAGAGAGAGAGACCAGAGAGAGACAAGAAAGAGAGACCAGAGAGACCAGAGTCTAGAGAGAGACTAATGAGATACTACAGAGAGGCCAGAGAGAGACCAGTAATGGACCAGAGAGAGAGACCATGACATCATTAACACCTCCTCCTCACAGACTCTTCTGATCCCACTCCTCGGGGACACAGCTGTACCCAGTGTCGGGTTACTGCTGCCTTTGTCTCGTTCTGCTCGGCTTGGATTAAATCCCAAATGTTGGAAGTAGCAGTGACAGACCTCCAACCTGTGGCCCGGGATTCTGTGAAATCACATTTATGACTGTTTCTGGTTCTTTTTCTGAACTAAGGCTGAGTTTACACGGAGACAATGTGGCAGTAAAACGGTATAGTTGGATGTCGGTTGCTACCAACCGTTCATACGAAGACTGTGTTCCAGGGGGGTGAAAACGTAAGTGTTCAGATCCAGCCCCAGAGTAGGACAACTCAGAAACGCTGCACAGCGGGAGCTTTTTCACACCCGCGAGAGGGGAAAGGTGTGAAATCCCCCTCTGCTCTGACCCCCACCTCAGCGCTGCTCCCCGCACGTAAATTTGGACATGCGCAGTAGCGGAGAACCAACATCAACAACAATGGCGCTGCCCACACAAACTAGCTACGTGGGCTTCCAGCGCGGGACAGAGGATAATTCTACTCCTTCGTTCGTCCAAACGAGACCACGCGAAGCTCTAGGTTCAGTTTCCATTTTCACAGCTGCTGTTAAAATGCAGATAGATGTTGGTGCGTTCTGAGGGTCTGGCACAGGAAGTGAGTATACTGCCAAGAGGGGGGCTGGGCACGGGGCTCGGGGTCGTGTGTCGTGTTGTAAAGTTTATCTGCCCACTACTGGCCGGGCGCTAGAACTACATCGTTTTTCAACCTCATGTGAACGCTGAGAAATTTGCATTAGGAGCCAGGTCGTTTCTGTTAATAGCCTGGAAACGTCTGCGCAGCGTCTCAGTATAAACAGGGCCTAAATCTCTTTGGATTGAACCAAAATGGGACTAAATGGTATAAAATATTGACAGGAATATTATTAGTATTTTTATATTTAACAATTTCATTTAGGTATGTCATCTCACAGAGAGAGAGACCAGAGAGACCAGGGAGAGACCAGGGAGAGACCAGAGAGAGAGAGAGACCAGAGAGAGACCAGAGAGAGACCAGAGCGAGACCAGAGAGAGACCATAGAGAGACCAGAGCGAGATCAGAGAGACCAGAGAGAGACCAGAGCGAGATCAGAGAGAGATCAGAGTGAGACCATAGAGAGACCAGAGAGACCCGTTAGATCAGACGAGGCCAGAGCACAGAAATAGAAGCCATAATCTGGGACACCCTATTTTTAAAAATCAAAGCATTCATTCGTTTCTATGGCGACCTTCATTGCGACGATGTGCGAGAAATTACCACAAGGTTAAAATGTTATTGTGTGTCGTGTTGTGTTTTCAGAATGACAAACGACTGGAAGAATGAACTGGTTGTGACTCTCGTTGTGATGTTTGTGTCTGAAGTTTTGCGGAGGTCGCGTCCCACACCCGTCACCAAACCTCACATGGACGACGTCTGCCGTGACTCTATGACGTCCGTCGTGACTCTATGACGTCCGTCGCGACTCTATGACGTCCGTCGCGACTCTATGACGTCCGTCGCGACTCTATGTCTGTCGTGACTCCATGATGTCTGTCGTGACTCCATGATGTCTGTCGTGACTCCATGATGTCTGTCGTGACTCCATGATGTCTGTCGTGACTCCATGATGTCTGTCGTGACTCCATGATGTCTGTCGTGACTCTATGACGTCCGTCGTGACTCTATGACGTCTGTCGTGACTCTATGATGTCTGTCGTGACTCTATGATGTCTGTCGTGACTCCATGATGTCTGTCGTGACTCCATGATGTCTGTCGTGACACTATGATGTCTGTCGTGACACTATGATGTCTGTCGTGACTCTATGATGTCTGTCGTGACTCTATGACGTCTGCTGTGACTCTATGACGTCTGCTGTGACTCTATGACGTCTGCTGTGACTCTATGACGTCTGCTGTGACTCTATGACGTCTGCTGTGACTCTATGACGTCTGCTGTGACTCTATGACGTCTGCTGTGACTCTATGACGTCTGCTGTGACTCTATGACGTCTGCTGTGACTCTATGACGTCTGCTGTGACTCTATGACGTCTGCTTGTTGTGACTATGATGACCCCGGCACAGACCCCGGCACAGACCCCGGCACAGACCCCGGCACAGACCCCGGCACAGACCTCGGCACAGACCCCGGCACAGACCCCGGCACAGACCCCGGCACAGACCTCGGCACAGACCCCGGCACAGACCTCGGCACAGACCCCGGCACAGACCCCGGCACAGACCCCGGCACAGACCTCGGCACAGACCTCGGCACAGACCTCGGCACAGACCCCGGCACAGACCCCGGCACAGACCCCGGCACAGACCTCGGCACAGACCCCGGCACAGACCCCGGCACAGACCTCGGCACAGACCCCGGCACAGACCCCGGCACAGACCCCGGCTCAGACCCCGGCACAGACCCCGGCACAGACCCCGGCACAGACCCCGGCAGGTTACGACAGAAGTTAAAACAATAACATGTTGATATTCGGTCGATAGCAGCGACAATCATCAATCAACCTCTGATTCACCACTACCACCAGCAGGTGATCCAAACCCAACCAGCCCAGACCAGCCCAGCCCATTCCAGTCCAGTCCCAGTCCCCTCCTCGCTGCATTGTCCTTGACCAAGACTTCCAACCGTAACACGACCCGCCTCCTCCCAGTCCCCGGAGCCGTTCATCCGGCCCAGAAGCTTTGCCCAGAGGCTGAAAGCAGCACAGACCTGGCAACACGTCCACACCTCGCTGCTACTTCACAGACGGACGGCAAATGTTCTCCCCCAGTTGGTCTCCCCCAGAGCCATAAATAAAACCACAGGGAGGGGGGAGGAGGGAGGGGGGAGGAGGGGGAGGCACAAAAGGACAGGAAGTGTGTGGATTTAACCCCAGATTAAATTATTAGATAGAAGTTAAATTAAAGAATGTATTAATTAAAGAATGTATTTATATTCTTGAACAAACAGGATTTTACACTTACTTCTTGGTTAGAGATTTTATTTTAGTAAAGTTCATTTATCTTGTGCTCCTCATTCCTACTGTTCAGTAACTGGCAATGCAACACTGGAATTTCCACAATAAAGGATATCTTCATCTCAATCTGTGGGAACAAATATCTCCACAATATTTTTATAAACAACATTTGGTGAAACTAGAGTTGATACTAGGGAAAAAGCTCTACTCTGCCCTACTCTGCCCTACCCCTACTCTGCCCTACCTCTACTCTGCCCTACCCCTACTCTGCCCTACCCCTACTCTGCCCTACCCCTACTCTGCCCTACCCCTACTCTGCCCTACCCCTACTCTGCCCTACCCCTACTCTGCCCTACCCCTACTCTGCCCTACCCCTACTCTGCCCTACCCCTACTCTGCCCTACCCCTACTCTGCCCTACCCCCTACTCTGCCCTACCTCTACTCTGCCCTACCCCTACTCTGCCCTACCTCTACTCTGCCCTACCCCTACTCTGCCCTACCTCTACTCTGCCCTACCCTACCACTACTCTGCCCGACCTCTACTCTGTCCTACCTCTACTCTGCCCTACCTCTACCCTACCTCTACTCTACTCTACGTCCAATCTAAGACATTTTGCTCAAACACGTTAGAAAAGCAGAATTCTGTATTATTCCCAAAGGAAGACCAGACTTTGTTATTGTCTAAATGTGGCTTTTATCAAAAATATTAAAATCGCAGAGTTAGAAAAACGACAATTATCAACTTTTAACAAAAACACAAAACATTGGAATATTTCTCTGAAAACAGTAAAATAACTCCACTCTCGCTCGGCCAATCAGCTTTCAGCCCAGCACGAAAGTTACAGACCCCAGCTTTAAGTGCTTCCCTCTGGACATTTCCCATGAGCCAGTGCAGGTCCAAAGTCTACTGCCGAATACAGAATCAGTATTAAAGCTGAGGTGTGTAACTTTCAAACCAGAGTCCAATCCCACCTCCTTCAGTTTGGCCAGATCTGAGCCCAAAGAGGCAAAAAGTGACTCTCAGGGCTCGTTCTTACAAGACACCAGGGATTTGAATTCAGATGAAGAAGCAGATTCTTTTTGATGGTTCTACAAACAACATGATTTATGAAAGAAAAAGTTTAGGTCCCCCAGCTTTAAGAAGGACTCACAGAAACCGGAGCTTCAATCAAATGTTTTATCTTCATTTGAGCACATTCTGTCTGGACTTAGAACCAGATTCACCGATGAGACGAAGCTAAATGATCTTGTTTTTAAAATGACACAGAAAAGTCTCCTTTGGAATAAGGAAATAAAGCAACAGTTCTTGAAATAAAACAAAATGGCTTTGTCCCGTTGGAGAATCCTGTTTTAACACAGTCAGAATGTGTCAGATAAAAACCACTTCATTCATTCATTCATTTAATATCGTTTTTTGTCTTATTTAAAACACTTTTTTCACATTCCAAGGGAGACATTCCCTGTATCATTTTAAAAACAAGATCTTTTGCTTTTGAGAAACTCAGTCAAAACGTACTTAAGTTTATTCATTTTTTATTGTTTTCTATTTTTAAAGTGCAATCCTGGAATCTGGGATTTTCTTGGACACACTCATCGAAAAGTGGACAACCAACATTCCTGTAGTATTTGGGAGAGAACGAGGGACGGTTTTTTTTTGTTTACAGTATGGGAGTGAAAATCCAGAGGAGAGAGGACACAGCCCACCGCGGCCCAGCCTGGATCCGATTACATAATTGACTTGAAAACGAGCTCTGCGCAAAAAAGTGCATGAAAACACAGCATTTTACTAAAGCAGCTGACTCACGCGTCTGCAAACTGCAAATATATCACGCACGAAGCTAAAGTAAGGGGTTGAGAAGGCTGCAGAGTGGCACAGATAAACATCCGATGCGCCTGGGTCACATTGTAAACATCTTTCCCCGAATCACAGCGCGTACAAAGCAACTATGGCGGATTCCAATGTGTTTTTTTTTTGGTTTTTTTGAAGAGTGGGTGAGGTCAGCGCACACGACCACGCCTGCAAGAGCATCCACCATCATCATCCTCATCCCGCAGAACGAGGCAGAGGACTGGGCCAAAAGTGCGTTCAAAGCAGCGCGGAGAGAGAGAGAAGCCATTACGCACGCACGGAACATCCATGACCCCCCCAAAAATGCGCAGCAGTGACGCATGAAAACACAGAGAGAATGCAACGTAAAGCGACGTCAAAAGAGCAGAAGAGACTGTTATAAAAAGACTGAGATGGATGTACATGGAGGAGGGAGGAAAGGGGGTCTGGATGCGTCACGGTGGGGGTGTAAAAAGAAGGAAAGTAGAGGTTTGTTGGAGTCCAGGCTGCGTCCGATGGCCACAGTCATGGAGATGTAGGGGACACAATGTGGCAAATCTGAAAGCGAAGGGAAAGAGGGAGCATAGGGCTTACCTGGAGGCCGAAAGAAGCACGCGTTGGTCCCGCTAAACCAGAGAGAGAGAGAGAGAGAGAGAGGAGGGAACCAGGGCTGGGATAGACAACAACCAGCAGCAGCAGCAGCAGCAGCAGGAGCAGCAGTAGTGGTGGTGGTGGTACCGAGGCTTGAAATCCACCAATCCGCCTGTGCTTGAGTGCTCCCCCCGCCCCGCTCCCAGACAGCACTGCCCCAGCCGGACTGCAGAGGAGGAGCGCGCGGTCTGAGCACCAGGGAGGCCCGGCGGGAGGGAGGGGCGGGCGGGAGGGAGGGGCGGGCGGGGACAGGGGGTTTTATAATAGGTTTGATATGGTTTATTAGTATGGCACAGTTCTAAGTGTTCAACTAAATCGGATCAAGTCGTTAAAATGAAATTCATAATCACAAACATTAAAAAGATTAAAATCCCTCAGTTTTCTCACATTTTCTAGAAGACTGTTCCAGATTTTAGCTGCACGAATCTGAAACACTGTCTCCTCACGTTTAGTCCTGACTCTGGGACCAGCAGGAGGCCAGTCCCTGTGCTCCTCAGAGTCCCAGCAGGAGGCCAGTCCCTGTGCTCCTCAGAGTCCCAGCAGGAGGCCAGTCCCTGTGCTCCTCAGAGTCCCAGCAGGAGGCCAGTCCCTGTGCTCCTCAGAGTCCCAGCAGGAGGCCAGTCCCTGTGCTCCTCAGAGTCCCAGCAGGAGGCCAGTCCCTGTGCTCCTCAGAGTGATGTACTTTGGTGCGAGACCATGGAGAGACTTGTCAATCAATCCATTTTCATTTATAAAGCACTTTTCATTCAGTAAAAGCAACACAAAGAGCTTTACAGTTTAGTTAAAAACATTTGCAATTTTGGTGACAGTAGAAACTCCACGAACAAAAGTGTGTTGCAAAACAAAATAATATTAAAGCTGAGGGATGTAACTTTCAAACCATAATAAGAAACAGACTCGTCTCGCTCTAAAAGAAGTTTGCTTCACAATGGTTTTCACAGAATTCTCTGTTTAGAAACTTTATTCAGAGCTCCACCAGAAACACATCCAAACAAACTTACCATGTGTAAACTCTGGTCCATGATCATCTCCTACATGTACGTCTGGTCTTACCATGTGTAAACTCTGGTCCATGATCATCTCCTATATGTACGTCTGGTCTTACCATGTGTAAACTCTGGTCCATGATCATTTCCTACATGTACGTCTGAGTCTTACCATGTGTAAACTCTAGTCCATGATCATTTCCTACATGTACGTCTGGTCTTACCATGTGTAAACTCTGGTCCATGATCATTTCCTACATGTACGTCTGAGTCTTACCATGTGTAAACTCTGGTCCATGGTCATTTCCTACATGTACGTCTGGGTCTTACCATGTGTAACAACTATATACTTGTTTCTGGATGAAGCTGGAGTTTATTTTATTTTACTATAGAGTTATTGTTCATTTATCTTGTGCTGTGCTCCTCATTCCTACAGTTCTGTAATTGACGATGCAACACTGACATTTCCCCACAGTGGGACGGATAAAGCATCTCTTAATCTTACTCTTAATCTTAACAATAGTATGACTGAGCGTTTTACCCGTTCTGCCTTAACTCCGCCCGTCTGAGCTGTACTGGTGTCGACAGCGAGCGCTCCCTCAGCCAGAGCCGCGGGAGGAGGAGGAGGAGGAGACTGGGCCCCGGAGAGACCTTCACCAAACAGAATGATGCCAGCAGAAGTTCGCTCCGTGTGAAGAAGAAAAGTCCTGCTGAAGACGAGGCAACCTTAGAAATTCACCGCTGCTTTAAACTTGGTCATGTGGAGGTTTCCCGGCTCTAGTTTAGCACAAATTAAGATTAAGATTAAAGTGAAGATTGAATGCCAGCCTATTTCAGAACAGGTACTCCCACAGTGCCAGCCATTTCTGATGATTTTTACTGATTTTTCAAGACCCACAGAATATTGTGTACTATGGCTATCTGAAATCCGACACCAGATTCTAAAAGAATGGACTGTCTACTTTCCTCAGCAAAAAGAATTTTGTTTATAGCTTTTTTCGTTCCCCTGTAATCCTTTGTTGAGTAGAGGGAAGTTTTACTGAAATCACCAGAAATCACCAGAAAGCTGAGAAAAAAGAGGCACAACATGTGCACCTACATGTTTTCAAACCATTCAGAGAGCAATGCTGCCACCTGCTGGCTCGATAAAATATGGTCTCAAGTCATCCCCATACATATTAGATACAATAGACATCTGGGAACGTGAAAATAGCGAAAAAGGCAATTGACGGATTAATGCGTCAATGGCACACGACGTTACTATTTGCTTTGACGTATTTGTGCGTCAATGGGACACAATGAGTTAAAGTAGAAATATGTAAGATTTTCATGTCCAGACATCATTAAAGGGCCCTAATCTGTCATAATTAAAGGGTCCTAATCTGTCATCATTAACGGGCCCTAATCTGTCATTATTAAAGGGCCCTAATCTGTCCTCATTAAAGGGCCCTAATCTGTCATCATTAAAGGGCCCTAATTTGTCTTCATTAAAGGGCCCTAATCTGTCTTCATTAAAGGGCCCTAATCTGTCTTCATTAAAGGGCCCTAATCTGTCATCATTAAAGGGCCCTAATTTGTCTTCATTAAAGGGCCCTAATCTGTCTTCATTAAAGGGCCCTAATCTGTCTTCATTAAAGGGCCCTAATCTGTCATCATTAAAGGGCCCTAATATGTCATCACTAAAGGGCCCTAATCTGTCATCATTAAAGGGCCCTAATCTGTCATCATTAAAGGGCCCTAATCTGTCATCATTAAAGGGCCCTAATCTGTCATTATTAAAGGGCCCTAATCTGTCATCATTAAAGGGCCCTAATCTGTCATCATTAAAGGGCCCTAATCTGTCATCATTAAAGGGCCCTAATCTGTCATGATTAAAGGGTCCTAATCTGTCATTATTAAAGGGGCCTAATCTGTCATCATTAAAGGGCCCTAATCTGTCATCATTGAAGGGCCCTAATCTGTCTTCATTAAAGGGCCCTAATCTGTCATGATTAAAGGGCCCTTATCTGTCCTCATTAAAGGGCCCTAATCTGTCTTCATTAAAGGGCCCTAATCCGTCTTCATTAAAGGGCCCTAATCTGTCTTCATTAAAGGGCCCTAATTTGTCATAATTGTAAGGGCCCTTATCTGTCATAATAAACTGCTCTGTTCCAATCCTTCTTTAACTGATAACAGTCGTTCAGAGATATTTGAATTTCTAAATTACTTTTCCAGCCCCTAAATCTTGTTATTGTTTTCATTTCGATGTCCCGCCCTCCACCGTTTCACCAATCAGAAAGTCTGTGATCCGGGCGCCAGAACTCACCGCGTGGAGCTAATCTCACTGGTAAAGTACCATGTGGCGCAGAACTAAAAAAGGTCTCGTTATGATTCTCAAATCATTAACGACAAAACAAGGAAGAAAACCAGGATTTCTATCTTTGTGAAAAAGGTGTTGGTTATAGATTTGTTGTTGACAAAACTCTTGTCTATTCAGCTGTTATGGTCCCAGCTGGATTCGTCTGCATATCTGGCAACCTGAGTCAGGGAGAGTGGGAGAGGCTGCAGTACCACTTTTGGCCACAGTTTGGAAACAGCAGCAGGAAAAAGGAGCACACATCACTCTGTAAACGTCTCCATTGTGAGATCAATAAAGTTCATTTTATTTTATTCCAAGAAAAGAGAAAATTAAGTTCAGCAAAAATTTATATATTTATCTGGATGAAGAAATAATGTATATAAACAGACAGGTATTTAACTAAGGGCGGCACGGTGGCTGAATGGTTAGCACTCTCGCTTCTCAGCAACAAGGTCCTGGATTCGAAGGGCCTTTTCAGTGGAGTTTGCATGGTCTCTCTGTGTCTGCGTAGGTTTCCTCCGGGTGCTCCAGTTTACCCCACCACTAAAAACATGTGTTCTTGTTTCTGTCACCGTGTGGAGAGGATGGAACAATAACTAAACTTTGTAAAGCACCTGAGTGACCTTGGCCTGTAAAATGTGCTTCATAAATAAACATGACTTACTATATGCTCCATAACAAAGAGCTATATATGTGGGGGAGGGAGGGCGACACAGTGACCTCTGACCCCACATCCTGCACCAGGACATGTGGTATAGTAGGTCTGCTGTCTGACCGGTAATCCACAAAAACACACATACACACACACACACAACACAACCCTTACACACACACACAGACACACACACACACACACACACACACATACATACAAACACACACACACACGCACACATACACACACACACACACAGACACACACACATACACAGACACACACAGACACACACATACACATATAGACACACACACACACACACACACACACACACACACACGTTTTTGTTACCTGGTGGGTCCCTTTGACAGGGCCGTTCAGAATGGGACCCATAGACATAATCTTTTTTTACTGGGACTACTTTAAGTAATACAAAACAGTCAATAGAAACCAAACAACTATTTTAAAGGAATTTTATTTTAGATTTTTTTTTCGAATTGCAGTGATTCTATTTTTGACATAGAATTTAATGCCACTCCATGTCCGATGTCTAAGGTCATCTGGTGAGGCATTAATGCAGGCCAGGCCAGGCCAGGCAGTGAGACTTCCCAGGGACTTTTCCAGTCTGTATGAAAGGTGTCATGGTCTTCTCCACAGCCTTCACCTCAGATGCAGACCATGGCTTTCTTACACGTTCTAGGGAGAGAAATAAAAATATATTAGCAATATACACTCCCAGGGTTAGGACCAAGCAGCCTGGCTGTAATCCCCCACCTGGTACACTTACCAGAAGGGGCACTGCCACTACCATGGGGTGCATCTGGATGAATGGTTGAAGGTTCTCCGCTTGAAGTTTCTTTTAGCCCGTCCGTTTGTGAGAGGATCTCTACTGCTCTCCCTGTCGCACAGAAAATAAAAATACAAGTGGCCTTTAGGGGAAAAAATCATACATATTTTAATAATATCAAGAATTACCTTCAGGCTCAATTTGTATCTGGTCGAGGCTCTTTCCTTCGAATTCCGTCACTCTTCCCTGCTCCATGGCCATCAACACTTTGCTGATTTTGGCCAGCTCCAGTGTCCCCTCTGGTAGTCTGTAATATTGTCTGTGGATGCGAATGTCATGGCCGAGGAAGTTGGCAAGTATGTCCATCTCATTCTCTTTCATATTGAGAACGGTAGACATAGTAGCTATGTGCTTTCTAAGTTTGGTTGAGGATAGCATCTCTGGATGCACCGCACCACATTCTTTGGCTACCTGGCGTAGGGAGTCTGATCCCCTGATGTGGGTGTCTGCGCCCGGGCGGGAAAATAAGTATGGGTTATGGTCAGGTTCTGTTCTCCACCAGCACCTCCATCGAAGCAATCATTTCAGAGTCAGATGGTTTCCGACTTCTTTTCCCTTTAGGCCCTTCTGTTCTCCAGAGCCAGAATGGATCCCACCTCCATGGCATCTTTGAAGCCTCACCTTCCCTTCTTCGATTGAAAATAATGACCTCACAAAGAGTCAAAACTGCAGTTTAGACCAATGCTTAGACGTTGGCTCACTTATTAGGGTTTGCACATATTCAGGTCGACATACCTCAATATGTGCATTGCATGGCTCTAACGTCCTCAGTCAGAGGGAGCAGGTCCGGAGTGTTCCACTTGGCTTGCCGGAGGGTCTGTAGGGCAGCAGAAGAAACACAGACGTCCCACCTCTTCTCAAAAAGCAGCCGGCTTCGTTGGAGGTTTTTAATAAATAGTTCATCAACACAATGCTCCATTTTTGAGTCACATTCAAGAATATCTGCTAGCTTTCTGAGGCTATGGCCGAGTTTGAGGGCCAAGGATGGAGTCTGTATTGATTTGTTTCCTCATCATATCCAGCCACAGACCTGACTGCATCAATCACATGGTTAAAGTTGGAAGGAATAAAGAAATCCTTAATTGTTTTTCAGTTTCCCTGCAGTTTTTGCTTCGTTAATTAACCTACCGACTTCTCTCATTTTCTGCCTAATGTAATCATGCTTAGTCTTATCATGCCCGTGTTTTAAGTACAGGTGCTCTCCGAGTCTCAGAATCCCCTTTTCTTGCTTTGACAAATCACCCGTGACCTCATTCCTGATGCATTGCCAAAATTAAAGACCACAGCTTTTTGCTGATGCCCTCCGGTACAGGCTGGGCTAGGGAGCAGAGGGACTGGACCCTACTTCTACCTGGTTTAGCCTGGGCATCTTTCTGTGAAAGCCGGCACCTGGCCACATGCCTCCACAGCGACTTTCGCTTAAGCAATGCCCCACAGTCTATACAGTGCAAAAAACTCACTGGATTTAACTGGGGCAATTTGGCTGTTTTTAGCTGGGACTTAAAGGTTTCCAATGCCGGCCTTTAAAACCTCAAAATTGTGCCTCACGGTTTCCCACTATTCCTGATCAAATCAAACTGTAGTTTACGTGCTTTAGATTTCACAGGTAGAGCCAATGCTCTGGCTACGTCACTTTCATTTCCATGTTTTCTAGTCAAATGACGGGACATTTTGTGGCAGGACACTTGAACAGTAGAGGCAGAAGTGTCTCTTGCTGTAATACTCGCCCCCCATTTTTTCTTCTTTTGCAGCTGCATGATAACAATCTTATTTGCCTTTGGTTCGTCACTTTCCGAGTCTTGAAGAAAAGTGTTTTTGATTTTTCTTTTTCCATACTTTTTTACAGGTTTCTTCTTGACAGTTTTTTAAATCGTCAGAATCTGAGTCGACTTCATCAATTAGGGACTCTTGACTAAGCTGCACAAACAACAAATAATT